CGAGTTGGACTCGCAGCCGTTCGATTCGGCCTTTGTGGTGTTTAAAATTTATTTAGACTCTAGTCTATGACCATCATTGACGTAATCGATTTTTCCTTGATATTGTGGTTTTATGGGTGACTGTATTCCCCACATTCTGTAGATGTTGTGATTTTATTTGCTTTTTCCCCTTATTTTTATTTTCTCCTCTTCTAGAAATTGAGTAATCATGGAGGTATACGGTAAAAAGGTTCCACTCAGCGTTGTTCTATTCGTGTTTTTGCTGTTTTATTGCATTATGCAGCAACTGCCAACCAAAGTACGCGGCGTGTTTATTGCCACGGTGGTGCTTGCTTTCCTTGGGACTGTTTTGGTTTGGAGTGGGTTGGACGACCACGTGCCGTTTGTTCGCAGGCGCATTGCGGAATCCCGCTCCAGCAAGAGAACTGAGAAAGAGAAGAAGCATGGCCATCATCATCATCATCGTGGCAGTAATGGAGAATCGCAGGAACAGCCGGGAGAGCAACCGAAGCCGCAAGACACTGACCCGCACCGCACCCCGCGGGGTGAGGGACAGGGAGTGACGGAGACATCGACGTCGCAGCACTCGGGATCTCCCGAACCTAGGAGTCAGCAAAGCACCCCTGGTGGATCTAATCGGCGCATTATAATAAAGGTGCCGACGGAACTCCGCAGCTCCATCCATTCAAGCTTATCGCCCTGCAGGGAAACTGAAACTGATGACCATAATTAGTGGCTTAACGACTCTCTGTGAGTCGCTCATATTTTTTCGCGCGGTGTGCGTGTGACGTTCACCTTTCTCTATTGCTTTTTATATTGTTCTTATTTACATATTAAGTGAGAAGAAACTGCAAGAGTGGTGTGACTGTATCTCTCTCCTTTCTCGGGCCCTCACTACTGTGTTCTACATTTTCCCCTTCCCTTTTTCTCTTTCTAGTTAGACTGTAGGTTATGACTGAAGTGTGGTTGTAGGATGAGGAGGAGGATGGGGAGGAGAGAGTAATTTTGACTTTGTGGCGAACCGTAAACAAAGAGGCATCTCTCTCTCTCCCTGTGTGGATGTGTGCCACGATGAGCTTAGCTGGTGCTGGGTGCGGGCTTCAAACCCGTAGGCGAGTTGGACTCGCAGCCGTTCGATTCGGCCTTTGTGGTGTTTAAAATTCATTTAGACTCTACTCTATGACCATCATTGACGTAATCGATTTTTCTTTTTTATTGTGGTTTTATGGGTGACTGTATTCCCCACATTCTGTAGATATTGTGATTTTATTTGCCTTTTCCCCTTATTTTTATTTATGTTTTTTTTTTTTTTTTTTTAAGTTTGTGTATCGCCATGGAAAAGAAATTAAGTTCTGTAGTTGATGCTTTGAAAGACCTTTCACCAGAGCAGAAGAGACTTGCCCTCGCAATTGGGGCAACAGCTGCTGCCTCCTCTACTGTTACAGCGGTGGTAATGTGTCTGCTGCGTAGAGGAAATGGATCAGGGGAACAGCAAGTGCATGCCGCTGCCCCATCAGGGGAGACAAAGAAGATGAACGGTGCGTCTTCTAATGGTGTTGTGAAACCGAATGACAGTACCAAAATTTATGAAAGTGAGAGTAGTGCTCGACAGTATATGGAGTTTCATTACACACCTACACGTACGAGTTATGCTCAACGTCTTCGGACTATCAGTGAGAGTTTTGATTTTCCATTACGTGTGGCACGTAAATTCAAGGAATTCACTCCTCAAACCGGAAATGAAAATACAATGGCACTTGACATTGGATGTGCCACTGGAGCCTCTGTACTGGAGATGAGTAAGTACTTTAACAAAGTTATTGGTCTGGACTACTCTGAGATCTTCATCCACCTCGCTAAGGAACTTGTGCAGGATACTGGCAAAGCCCACCGCCATCGTGTCACATACACTGCCCCTGATCAGGGCGATATCACTGTTGAGCGGACTACATATGCCCCGCACGGCACCTTCCCTGAACGCTGCGAGTTCTACTGCGGTGATGCGATGAATCTCTTCGCGGAGAAAGGCGCCACACACTTAACACCACACCCGTCTGGTCACTACGATGATGTGATGTGGTATAAAGTGCCGCCCGGCGTGCAGTTCGATGCGGTGCTTGCGGCGAATCTTCTTTGCCGCGTGCCGGACCCCCGCCGGCTGCTGGACGCCTTTGGGCGGCTGCTGCGACCCGGCGGGGTTCTCGTGTTGGTCTCGCCGTACTCGTGGTGGGAGGGGGCGACGCCGCGGGAGCGGTGGATTGGCGGACGCCCGGGCGGGCCGCGGTCAGAGGATGCCGTCAAGGAGATTCTCAGCCCCGCGTTTGAACTGCTCAGCGAGACGGATGAGGCGTTTCTCATTCGCGATCACGTGCGGCGGTACCAGCTTGGATTCTCACACTGCACCGTATGGCGACGGCGGTAGTGTGTGAGGTTGACAAGAGAGTGAAAGAAAGAAAAAGAGAGAGAGAGAGAGTGTGTGTGTGTGTGTGTGTGTGTGTAAAGGGACACAACAGTAAAGAATGGGAAAAATAGGGTAGATTGAAAGTGTAGGTAAGAGTGAATGAGTGAGTGTGGGGAAGGGAGGGAAGGCATGGTGTCGGTGTGTATGCTCCTATGTTGAAGACATGACGATAATGTTTTTACGATAATGCGGATGACAAGGGGAGAAAAAAAAAAAGGCAAAACGAAAATCAAAATTAAAGGAAATGTGTAGCAAAGGATGATGATATTGTAGGAATGACTGTGAAATTGTTTTTTTTTTATTATTTTTCGTTGATTGTGTTTTACTTCACATGGTTATTTACATTTTTATAATGCTTCAATTTTGGCTTCATTGTTATTTTATTCTCTTTCTTTTTTTTCTATCTATTGGTTATATTGGTCGTGGACTTGCTATTGACTATCATGGTAAATTCGTCATTACAGCTGGACTTTTTTCCTTATTTTACTTGAGTGTTTTCTTTTCTGCAAAAAAAAAAAAAAAAAAACAAGAAGAAAAAAACCAAAAAAAAAGAAGGTAGAGGGGAAAACTTTTTGGTATTATATTCATTCAACCTATTGAATGGGTGAAAAGAAAAATGCCGAACTGTAAATTCTTCTCTTTGTCTCATTGTATAACTTATTAGGAACCACAGTAAGAGTTGTGTGTTCATCTCTTTCTTTCTCTCTCTCTCTCGCTCTCTCTATAAATATATACGTCTGTGTGGGAGAGGTAGGGGTGCTTTCGAGGACATTTAACTCACTTTGAACACATCCTCAGCGTTGTTTGTTCCCGAAAGGAGAGAAAAAATAATATTGAAACCATTAGTAGATAAGCAAAAGAAAGATAGAAAAGAAACGAGATGAGGCAAACAAGAAGAAAAAAAAAAAATTGTTTATTGGATAAAAACAATACGTGAATAATCTTTTTTGCTGAGCAGTTCTTTTTCTTCACCAAAAAAAAAAGAAAAACGGGCATTTTTATATACTCTTGAAGATTGAATTATTCTTTAAAATACATAAATAATCTCTTACCACTTCACCAATAAATTATTCTTTCTTACCCCTTAATTGATTATTTTTTTTTTTGTTTTGTTTTCTCATCCTTTTCTTATACAATAATTATTATTGGAGGCAAGTACATTATTAAAGAAAGAGGAAACATCATTAAAAGAAAAAAGAAAAAAAAAAACCGCGTTATTGCTATAGTTTTTCTTCTCGTGTAAACATGTCTCTACACCTCTCATCACGTCAGTGGAAGGCGCTGGCAGCGATATATCATCTCTACGCGGGGAAGGAGAAAAATGAGGATGCCGCACCTTTTGCAGGGGCAAAGGGAATAAACGGTGATAGTGAAGTGAGTAAAATACAAAGAGAAAAGAATGAAACAGCATCTTTACAATGGGTACAAGGAGTTCTTCCTCTTTTACTGCGTGCGTTTCCCGATGATAGTCTTGCAGAATTAAATGAATCTGTAAAGCAAAAACAGTATAGTGGGAATGAGAATGAAAATAATAATAATAATAATAATAATAATAATAATAATAATAATAATAATAATAATAATAATGATAAGCGTAGTTTGAACAGGAAACGACGGCGTTCGGATCAACGAGATAGTGTAGTGGATAGGTGGCGAAAGTTAATTCCAACCAAAATGGATGACTTCTTCACTGCTGTGCTGTCATCTGGGGAAGAGGATGAAAATCCACTATTGTTGACAAGGAATGAACTTTGCCTTTTGCGATTACTTAATAAGGAACAACGTTGGTCAGATTACTGTTACCAACAATGTGCATCCCTAAAGGAAGAGATGCGGCATACAGGAGAGAGACTCTTACAATATTCTTCAGAGTCCAATGACCATAAGGTTGTTAATGGCAATATGAGTACTTCCATCTTTTCTTCCACAAGGGAAGGGAAGGAACACCACCAAACATCATCACCGAAAACTAAAGGACAGATCGATAGTAACGGTAATTATAAACAAAATAATAATAATAATAAAAATAATAATAAGAATCAACAGAATGTTGTGGTTAATTTATTGGATGATGAGGAGGTGACCGATATGGAATCCCCTCGACATTTTGACACCACACGAAAAAAAGAGACTACCCCAAACAAATCCAACAAACTCCCATCCCCACCCGCCTCATCAACAGCCATTACAGAAACAGACGATATTCCAGTAGATCCCAGCCCCAACGAGGGGGAATCACTCTTCGATCTCATCTGCGTTCAGTGTGGAGCGGAGGGCGGCGATCTCTTTCGCTGCAATCGATGTAAAAAACTCCGCCACGAGGCCTGCGGTGGCCCGAGAGTGGACTCCTCTACAGGTGTCTGCAGTGATTGTTGTGCGTTGTTGGGTCTCACACCGAGCAGCTGCAGTCTTCGCTCCTCCACCTCCACAGAAGAGCGTGCAGAGCTTGGCGAGGATGACAGTGATGCGAGTGAGGATGAGGACACAAGTCTTTCAGGCTTTATTGTGCGATCTTCAGAGGAGTCAGAGAGTGCAGCATCATCATCATCGTCAGCATCATCGTTATCGTCAGAGTCAATAGTGGAAGAGAAAAAACCTTCTAAGCGTGGGCGGCGCCACCGTCGTTAAGCATTTAACAAATATATATATATATATATATATATATATATATATATATATATGTATAAATATAAAGAAACACATATTAAGTCAAAATGCATTTTCTCTAATAGTGGTGGTGATGATGGGGTGAGATGGATGGGTGTGTGGTTAAGGGATCAGGGATGGGGAGAATGAGGGTCGGTGGAAAAGTCAAACAAACAGACAAACGACGTACTAAACATATGATTAATATTCTGGATGAATAAATTTTGAAGTCTCAGTTATTATTATTATTATTATTATTATTATTATTATTATTATTATTATTATTATATACTTGTTATATTATTTTAAATTGTTTGCTTGTGCTTCTATTACGTGTTCTATCCTGGGAGAAAGCAACCGTTTTAATGAATTCGTTTTTTTTTTTGTTCTTTTTTTTTTTAATTCGATTTCTTCTAATGCCCCATAAATTAATTGCGGTAATGGAAAGAAATGATCATCACACTGCTCTTTTTTTTTTTTTTTTACTTGCTAAGGTCTTTTCTTGTTTTTGGTATTTTCCCCCCTTTTTTTTATTCTTTATTTTTCCCTTTGGAAAGGGTGGTTACTTATAGTGTTATATCTTACCCACAGGTGTATATAAAGATAAAGAAAGAAAATAAAACACCATTCATTATTGAATTACATTATTACGCAAACCAAAAAAAAAAGAAGAGAGAAAAGAGAGCAGAGGAAGGTGTGTGTATATATATACAATTAATCTAGTAGATATAATGTCCTACCCCATGCATGACAGACCATGGAAAACAGATGATGCCAATCCCCCAACAACAACAACAACAACGCATAATATCTTAACAACTCCCGATTTATTGGCACAACAACGACGCCAGCGGGCTGCGAGTGTCGCTGAGCATCTCCCGTATTATTACGATGTGGAGTTGGAGTGGGTGCCAACAGCAGTATTGCGCCGGACAGCCTATCGAATGTACCCACGCATGCGAAGTGCCGTTCAATGGATGGAATCGTATGGACAACAATTAGTCGGCTGGTTTGGATTAGATGAGAGAGGATATGAAGATGAGAGAGAGCGACGACGTGAACAGTATTATGCGGAGTTGCAGCGAATGTACCGCAAGGAAGCCGAGAAGGATGATGAGTTGTGTGAGGCCAGAACAATGGAAATGATCCTGTCGAGAGAACAAGAAGGTGAAGAGGATGATGTGGAGAGTCGTATGAGGACAAGTGATGAAGTAAAGATTCTGAATAGGATGTTAAATGATATGGAAAAGGATATGAATATGGATAAAAATAGTGTTTGTGGAATCAAAAATAATAATAACAATAGTAATGATAATATTCTTAAAGAAAAGTTAGACAGTAAAACTGGTGGTGTGATGCGGAAGTTTGTATGTATGAATATACCATCTGGGTTTCCTATTGATGAACTTCCAGAGGAAGTTGTATGTTGAGAGTTTGACTGAATAGCTTCCCTTTCTTATTTATATTGCTGTTATTGTAGTTATCATGTTTTTGATGAATAGTTCCTGATAAAAAAAGAAAAAGAAACAAATTGTTTTTTTTTTTCTTTTTTTTTTTTTTATTGCTTTCAATGTTACACAAGACTGCGATGCCATTGTGGCTTCAGCAACAATATACTATCTTATTGTTCTTCTCCGTCTAGTTCTTTTCTGGTTTTATATTTTTATATATTCATATATCTTTGAATGAATTTTATTATTTACCATCTTTTCTTTTTATATACACATTCACACTGAGCAATTCTGACTTTTATTCCTGTTTAATCCTTCTTTTGCGATGTGGTATGTATATCCATATATGTTTTATCTTTCTTTATCTATCTATTTATCAATATATCTATCTATCTATCTATCTATCTATTAAATATATATATATATATATAGTCTGGCAATAGCGAATACGCGCCAACTAGTGGATAATATCACACTGTGTAGAGATAACAGAAAAAAGAAAAAGAAAAAAAAAAAACAATCATTCGCAATGGGCCGCAGCAATAATCAACTCCGCCGCACGGCGAAAGAGAAGGGAAAGACATTTGTGCCAAAGAAACGCAAGAGTAAAACATATAATCAACTCCGGGCTCTCCGCTTTGGCAACAAACAAAAAGAGCCGCGTAAACTCGCGTATAAAAATGTCGTTGCGAAGGGCGGCGGTGTGAAGAGGCGAAAGTTCCGCCCCGGTGGGTACAACACCAGCGGGAAGTTCGGAAAAGCCGCAGGGGCAAAGGCAAACAGCAGCAGTGGTAGTAAGAAGGGATCGAAGAAGTAGAGAAGAACTCAATTGTGAAATTACACGTATACATCTTTATATTTATATATATTTATTATCAGTCGTTTAATACACAAATACGCAGAGTGTGTTTTTGAGGAAATGCGAAATTTTTATTATTAAAATACGCGTTTCCATACGTTTGTGTACTCATTACACATAATTGTATAATCATTACATATTCATATATATATATATATATACCGAGGAACCTTCGTTTCTCTGTCTCTCTCTATGTGTATACATATTATTTGTTATTTAATATTTTTATTTCTTTTTTTTTTAATATTATTAATTCTTTTTTACTTCTCTACCTCTATCTATCTATCTATCTATCTATCTATTCCACATATGCAGATATCTTTCTCTCTTGAGAAAAGAGAAATAAACACACATAATATAAATAAACGGCCCATATATACATAGTAAGACGATGCTGCGCCGTTCTTTCCTTCGTTTATTTACTCTTGCAGAGAGCAAAGCCATGTTCCTGGACGCCAAGGGCCATTCATTGGCCTCACACTCCACCGCAACACTCACACAAACACTGCAGGTACTTGCGGAACATCATCATCATAAAGACACCGCACTTACACATGCCGTTTTGCAGCGATTACTTTCTTTAGACTCTACAGATGCCGATTCTGAAACTATAGCTTTATTTCATACATGTAAAGAGAACTCCAACAGTGATCCTGTGGATAAATCACCACTACCACTATCAACATCAACATCATCTTCACATTTGATATTGCAGGTGATGACGTTGTATGCAAATGATACCGTTGTTCGTGAACGTTGTTGTCGTTGTATTGCAAACATGTGTCAACTCACTCATATTTCACATACATTACAGTCTTCTTCTTCTTCTTCTACTTGTGGAGATAATGTTGGGGAATCGCAGGATTCTCTTATGAACTCAACAACTGATCACAACAAGACTGTTGATGGAAAGAAGAATAATATTGCGGATATGTTGGTGGAACAGGGTGCGGTGGAGTTAGTGTTTGGTACACTCGCCATGTTTTCTCGATTAAGTGCGAAGGGACGTGCCTGGTCTGCACTCGCCGCATTAAATCTTGTTTGTCTCTCAGAGAATGGAGCCCAACGGGCCGCAAAGGCAAAGGGGGAGTCTGTACTCGCAGACTTTGTGGCTGCTTCGGCTTCTCATATGAATAATAATAATAATAATAATAATAATAATAATAATAATAATAATAATAATAATAATAATAATAATAATAATAATAATAATAATAATAATAATAATAATAATAATAATAGTGATAAAAGTAATCAATGTGTGGCGATAGATGCTGCATTAGGGGCTCTTACACGACTACTCACAGCGGAGGCGGATGACAATGCGGCGGGTATACGTTACCGCTATGAAGAAGTATCATACGGTACTGTAGAGGCAATTGCACAGGGACTCGTCTGGTTATCCGAATCTTTTATAGCGGAGATGCAAACTGGAAATGATAATGGAAATAGTAATAGTAATAGTCGTCGTCGTGATGGAATGGTGTTTTTCCCTACAGCTCTTCCATCCCAGCAATCTGCGATATTAACATATCTTCCACCTTTACATAAGGCATGGATGGCATTAAGGAGTATTAGCAGTAGTAGTAAGAATCTACCTATTGTATATGAGGCCTTTTATCGACCCGGTGAGGGTAGTGGACTACAAACCGTAATGGATGTTGTGTTGATGCTTGGCGTGAGTGTAGAGGGACTTGCGGCTGTTGGGGCTGAAGAGGCAATGCAGTTGCAATCCAATATGTTGTTGTGTGCAATGGAGGCTTGTGCAGATCTCACCGCAACACGAAAAGACTTGACTGCAGGTGCCCTAGCAGAGGCAGTTCATACTACTACTACTACTACTAATAATACTAATAATAATAATGATAATACTAATAATAATAATAATAATAATAATAATAATAATAATAATAATAATAATACTGTAGAAGAAGGAGGAGGAGGAGAAGAGAAAGAAGAAGAGAGTGTGGGAGTCTCTGCCGTTATTCCCACAGAGGCGGCGTTAACTGTATCGGACTCACTCGCGGCAGGTGTAGTCTCCACCATTGCGGTCTCAACGATTGTGCGATTACACGCCACCCACAGAGAAGCGATAGAAAACAAGAAGTCTAACACCATTCATAATAGAGATTCTAATCATAATAATAATAATAATAATAATAATAATAATATTAATAATAATAATAATGTTAATAATAATATTAATAATGTTAATAATAATGAGTTAATGGGTCTAGTGTATGAAAGTAGTGTATTTGATCTTCTTGCTAGATGTGTGGTGGTGTTAGCCAACTTGGCTGGACATGATATCGCCGTTGCCTCTTTAAACACCATCGCCGCTCTGCACGCATTACTGCAAGACGCTGCAGATATTTTAGAGCAAATAGGCACACAATACCGTAAAGACCCATCCAAACTCTTTACGAACGAATGCTCATCACAGAATAATAATAATAATAATAATAATAATAATAAAGAAAAAGAAAAAGAAAAAGAAATACAACTTCTACTTATACAGCAATGTGCATTAGCAGGGCAGGTGTATGCTGTGCTCTGGGGTGTTCTCCGTACACCGGCGGGGACCTCAACAATGCGGGAGTTGTCTGTAAATGAGACTGTGAAGAGAGTGCAAACTGCCGTGGAGGCATTATGTGAAGCCGCCGATGGATTGAAGGAAGAGAACAATAATAATAATAATAATAATAA